CTATTGGTTGCGCCCGCACACCGCCGTTAATGCGAGTATAAAAGGAGAGTAACCCCGCCTCCACGGATTCTCATGCACTTCCGCCGCCAGCTTCGGCTGGCACCACTGCACCTCATTTAATCGCCCCTTCCTCATTTTCCTTTATCATTGTTTTGTATTCTTTATGTGTTCTTTATATCCATGTAACCTTTTTATTAACCTCAACATTATTTACCTCCTATTGTAATCTTCTTATGTATTACTCTCATCTACCGCTTATGTCACGCCGTATACCAATCCGTCTATTTACCTATATATACTCAATTTCTATAAGGCCCCGGGCAGACTTCACGCGATTTGATCGTCGCGACTGAATCGCGACGAGACAACTGTTACAACATCATTCCATGCCGATCAACTTGCATTCGGTTGTGATACTCTTTCAGCCCGAAATTTTTGAATGTGAAATGAAAATGAATGGAAATCTTGGCGATTAGATTGCGACGAGTAAGTCGCGTGAAGTCTGACGGGGGCCTAACGCGATGTCATAAGGATAAACTTTAGTAATCATTCATGTTCTGTGGAAAAGGGAAAGAGAGAGTCAGAATAATCATACGTTACTGGACAAAGTCCTCGCGATAGCCCAAAATCCTTTTTAAATATTACACTGGGAACCTCTTGATCTGTGCGATTGCGCCATAATCCTTGACCTGTTCTCGGTTCCACAGCGGGGGGTCTTTTGTTGCTTTGTAGATTAGCGAAGCGATTCGCTCGTGAAGTTGATTGATTTACCGTATTTCCTGATCTTTTTGTGTTTGGAAAGCACAAGGTGGAATGGTGCATTCGCCTACACATGGGGCAATCAGGCTTGTTGCACTGATTGTTTCTGCGTTGGTTAGAAAAGCGCTTCCAGCAGCGTTTCGTATCCGTAATCACTTTTCTCCTTTGTGTTACATCCGTGATTGCACGGCAGTTTGCGGAAAAATGGTTCACACTAGCGCAAAAGATGCATTTTTTCTCGTCTTTTGGGTAGTTCCCTCTGTCTGTGGCTTGATGTCTTTTATTTTCTTCGTTCGCTTTTTCTGTGAAACTGTAGCCGGGATTCCACATATTTTTTTGGCATTGATCTCGTTTTCGATTTGATCAAGAACCTCTTCGACCTTTACTTCTTCCTTTCCTTGCAGAGCTAGAGGCACATTTTTTACTATGCTGCATGGGAATTTCTCCAGAATTTTTCTTTGTCCACATTGCATCTGTCAGTTTGGGAATGTGCTGATACCATTTGGTTGATCAGCATGCGAATTTTATCGAATGTATGTGCGCAACGTGTTTTTTGCAGGTGGGAGATTGGTAAGTTTCTGGACGAATTTTGCTCTGTTCATTGGTTTATTGCCGTATCTTTTCTTGAGCGTTTCTACCATCCATGTGTAGTTCCGTGGAATCAATTGGATCCCCTTGACGGCCATCTCTGCTCTTCCTTTGAGGCTGTCTCTCAAGAGAAGTATCTTTTCTACCGTGCTTGATACCTTACTTTGGTGAACAAGGGTCTCGTACACCGCCCAGAATTCTGGGAACTCTTCTTCGCCTCCCCAAAATCTTGGTAGTTGCATTACACTCGGTTTCAACGTTCTACATATGACATCTTCTTCCACCACAGCTCTGTTGCTTTCTTCTTCCACTACAGCGCTGCTTTCTGGAACTTTGGTGCTGTAGAAGCTATCTGCTGATAGCCAGGCTGCATCGTTTGGATTGATCACTTCGCCGCTGTTTTCAACAATGTTGCTCCCGGAACTTGTTTCTGTGATATTTGGGTGGGATGTTTAGGCAACGTTGTGCCTAATTTAGGCGACAGCCGTTCTGCGTGATTTCGTGCTTCGGTGTGTCTGGTTCCTAATATCAGAATCATTTCATTTGCTTTTGCTATGTTTTCCATACATTTCGTTTCTTTTTCTAGTTCTTCAAGTTCTTTTTTCCATTTCTTTTTTATTTAGTCTTGTCTTGCTGTCCTCCCATTTTTTTTGAAGTTTGTCGAGGAGGACTTGAAGAGAATCTTTACTTTGTTGGGTAGATTGTGTACTGCCGACTATCAGGTTTATCGATCCTAGGCACGTCTCATAGTTTTCATCGTCGGATTTTTGAAGAATTAGTTCTTCTTTATGGTGCGAATTTTTGCAGTAGCATTTGCAAAGTTTTTGCACTTTGTGCGATTGGTCTTTTGAAAAAAATTAGCGCCATTTTTCTGTTTTTGCGCTAATGATTTTGCTTATTTGTTTTTGGTGTTCCAGGAGTGTGTCCTGGACCTGGGGGCCAGCGGGGGTTTGCTGGACTTTTTATGCCAGGATGGGTTGCTCTGGACTTGTTTGCCAGCGGGGGCTTGCCGGACTTTTGGGTTAGTGTGGCCTGAACTTCTATCGGCTATTTCTTTTAGTCGATGCACCAATTTGTGGTGGCTACAAGATGGTCCAGTGGAATTTTAATCTTTATCGTTATTTCGCAACATAAAGGCCGGCTGGGTGCCGGACCAACACAAAACGTGAGTGCCGTCTTCGGGGTTGGCCTGAAGATGATGGCCACAAAGGCTATTATGCGATAACATATGGCGAGTATTATGCGGTACAACCCATGGCGCGGAGGGGGTTCCTGGGATTAGGAACATTGCGCCTTCGTCATGCAGCAGCCTATAACTAGATGGCTGTGTGCCTCGAATACGTCTTGCAGGGGGGCGCAATTCACAAGGAAGTGCGTCTAGTCAAAGTGGCCTTTTCAAATGGGACTTATACTGCTTTAGAGAGTAATGCACAGGGATTAAGAACCTGCCTTCATTATAAAGCGCCTTTGAACGCCGAGTTGTGGGTGTTTTTCGTGTCAAAAAATTGAACGCAAAACTGAGACAAACTCGCCCGAATTTGCTTAAAGGCAGTGCTCGGCAAATCTCAACCTAGTCAAAAAATTTTTGCTTACCTGAGGTTACTCAACACGCTGATCCCAAAAATCCACTTCTGCGAGCTTGAAAACGGCGAAAACGAGCGTTTTTCGATGCCCTTCCCTTCGGAATTGGACGAGTGGAGTAAGGCTGATGGTGCTAGATGTTGCGGGACCCAATGGTTATAGCATTGCGGCGGGCAGCCTCCATCTCAGACACTCGCGGTTGAGTCGCAATGCCTGGGCGACTCGCGAAATCGGTGTCGCGGCAAAATCAGGACACCTGATTTTGTATCGGCAAAAGTGCGAAACAAAATCGGGGCAAAATTGGGACACCTGCGCGAGACACCAAAATGTCCCGATCGCGTTCAGAGCACGCGCCCTACGCCCTTATTTAACAGGTTCTTGCGTCTTCTGTGCCCTTTCTCACGCCTCCCTTTTCACTTACCTAACGTCCTTAATCTCTTTGGGTCCCACTTCTTATGCTTGTAACTTTTCTGCTAATAAAACAGTCTTACGTCGCGAAATTTATTAACAAATGCACAAGATCTTCTCAAGCAGGCTTTACATTAACATCGAAATGAGACACACAGACAGACAGCAAGTATGAAATTCGAAGCACCACAATAACAACACAAGATTACGAAACAACTACAACAAAAAATGTAGACAAATCATCAGGCTTCCTGGATGTCTTCGACTTCATCTTCTACGCATTCAGTCTTCTGAATCACCAGGTCTTCCTGAGTGGTACTGGTACTCCTGCCTTCAGAGTAGTCTTCGATGACGACACGTTTTTTCTGAAAAACCAGAATTATTGATACCAGGACCACATAAAACAGATGAACCACCTTTGATGGAAGAAGAGCGGATCTTTCAGGGTCAAAATGATATGTTCGGACGCCTGCCCTGCAAAATTATAGTTAAGAAGTATGTATCGCTTCTTCCGTATGAGAAAACTCACAAGGCCCTCCCTATTGCTATCCTTGACGGCTCTACAGCCGCAGTAATAGAAAATAAGCATAACGGTCCGAAACGGCCTAATAGAAAAATCGGTCTTGTTGTGAACGTGTTAAAGAGCTTTCCACCTCAAAAAATCAGCATGTGGGATGTTTAAGAACCTTAACACTGTCGGTGGGAGCACCGCAAACCCCACTCGCAAAAAAACATACACTTACCTGGCGAATGCTGCATGATATGACATAGAAAGTATACTATAATATATGACTCCCTCCATGATCAAAACAACAGCAAGCGTGGATTAGTAGATGTTCACAGCTAAGGCAACAGCACATCTTCAAGTTACGCTGACCAAATACATCACATGGAAAAGTGAAGCATCTAAAAAAGTTTCAGGAAGACTACTCAATTAGGGTAGCAATGACAGCAACTCAAAAGTGGAAGACAGCAGCAGAATTAAGCTGTCAGCATGATTTTGTATCACTTGATAAGCCATGGGAGGCTAAGGGAACATAGCTGCGATAGGGTAAGTTAAGGGTACAGCTAAGGGTACATAGCTGTGCCGGGGAATTCTTCTTCAGCGCAAACATTTTCCGAGTTAAAGCAATTAAAAAGGTCTTTCAAAGCAACCATCGATTTCAAACAAACGCTTATTGAGGAAAAAATCAAAACAAAAGAGTCATAAAAACATCTATATATCCAAAGCTATGAACTAAGTACCAACATCATTCAAACCCCCAATGATGGCAGCCTCTGTTCAGCCGGGGTTTCGCGGAACTTCTATGCAACTGTAAACAGAGTCTCTTCCAATGAGGCTTGCCTGATAATTACTGTACACAGTAAGAAAAAAACAATCGAATACTCCAAAAGCAGATTGTTACCTCAAGACACCGCTTTGATCCTTGATCATGGGGCAAATAAGACCCTGAGTTTTCAGTCCATCATACGAAAAACGCGCTTTATCACTGATCCTGATCTGATTCATCTGATCTTTATCACTGTATCAAAAATCATCATCAGCTGCAAAGTCATAAGAAAACTAGGTTTTCTTTCATAATATTTCAAATGAATCCAATTTTAATGAACTCACGTCGTTCATTTTCGGGAAAGCAGCCACCTCATTTGCAAATCTAACACATCTAGTGCAGTGAATACAGCGATTTATAGAGGTCATGATCAAAGGACTTATGTTCTTGTTCTTCCACGGCCCTGAAAAACCCAGAGAGTGCACTCTTGACTGTTTAAAACACTGATCATAAAATGCGGAAGAAAGAGAAGAACCTCAGGAAATAAAAAACCTTTTTCCTCATATGTGGCACGAAGTCGACTGCGATCGCTGCCAAAAGCCATTGACTATCATGGAGATCGCATCCACCTCCCTAATACAGATCATACTTTGAAAGTATGATAATATGACAGAACAGAGATTTGTTTCAAATGCATTGCAAAAACGCAATTGCTCAATCGACTTACCTGATCACATATAGGACAATCTAGGGGATGTTTCACTAGCAAGAATTCCATTACACCTTCACGAGCTTTACGAGCAAATTCCGAGTCTGTCTTCACTTTCATTCCTTTCATCACTGGCATTGCGCATGATGCGACAGGCTAAAAATAGCAACTTTTCAAATGCGCACGCCAGTGTCCTTTGGGCTAGACCTTGATGCTTTTCTCGACTTCAACAAGGCACATTCTGCAATTTCCAGCAATCGATAGACGATCATGATAGCAGAAACGTGGAGTATCTACACCAGCGAGAGCACATGCCTAAACCATTTACTGTAAGAGTCGATGAGAGAATAAACAAATTCTAAGAGCGCTGTTCAGAAAAATGCTTTTGCTTGGACCATTCAGAAGATAGTGATTGAGAAGCTACATTGTGCTAAGATATGACAAGAGTCAAGACAATAAGCTACAAGAAGCTACAATATGACAGGAGTAAAAAAAGGATGGAACCAGTATAACAAGGTAAAAGCGCTTCATTTATTTAGCTGCTACAACTTATCCTTCTGTTTTACACTCTTGCATACGCGAATTTACGAAGCAATAAGTCACAAAGAGATGCGTAATCAAAGGATTGAGTCAGAAATGGAGGCACACACTTGATCCCTGGACAGTACAGAATAACAATTCAAAGAGTAATTCAAATCGAAAGGAAGAGAAGCAACAAATGCTAACAAGAATTGACCTATACGTGCATTATTTCGAAATCTCCTCGCCCGTCGCGACAAAATCGCACCAATGTCGGGACGAAACTAAAATGATGACTCGCGCAGGTCCACCGGATTTTGGTGCGAACGCCCATTTTGTGGGCGGATCCCCTGCGCGACTCAACCGCGAGTGTCTGAGCAATGGTAAGGAGGAAATTGCCAACTCTTCCGGGAGCGTGTAAGATTGGCTTGCGCGTGTAGGTTTTAGGGTGCCTTCATACCGCGCCCGCAGCCGCCGCTAGCCGCCTTTGCGCACCTTTCCAGTATCCAAGCCAGCCTATTGAAGCCACGAATTTTGCTCAAATTTAGTGTAGTGGGGTTATTTGGCATGCTGATTACAAATAGCATGATCTTTCAACGTTTTGGAAAGGCCTCGGAATATTGGGATAGTGCGCAAAAGCGGCTACAGGCGGCTAGCGGCGGCTGCCGGCGCGGTATGAAGGGGAAACGTCCGGAAGGCGACAAATGACCTAGAACAGGCGCAGCTACTGGCCACGCCCTGTCCGAGTTTCCCGTTGTTAGGATGCTCTGGATGTTTGGATTGGGGCGCCTTTACACACATTGCGCATGGCTCTCTCAATCTCTGACTTCGTCGCTTCTTCTCACGTGGCTTTTTTGAACGTTTTTGTTTCGTGTATGTAACTATATTATTGCTCACTGGTAATGTGGTGATTTGCTTTCTTTTGTATTTGCCTCTCTGTAAGCTAAGCATATGCTCTTCAAAACTGCCTTTTGTAGAAAATTTTGTTTCAGGCTGCAGCAATATGTATAGTAATAAAAGATCATCCTAGTAAGGAGGTTAGTAAATACCTGCGTTCTTGAGTGATGTGTTACTTTTGTATTTTTTCATAAATTAGGTGTTTAGTTAACTATATCATGTTTTTATATGTTAATTAGTTCTTGTGCAGACTTCGTTCTAAATTGATGATGGAACGGATAAAATGTGAGTAGAATTCCACTCAACAACGGTACTGTAAGCCAGTTATATCAAGTAAAGGTGCTGTTATACTTTTGCATCTTCTTTACAATACGACTTTTCTTCAGGCTACACAGAAGAAGATTTGGAGCACTTCGAGCAAGGACGCATTGTGCGGTGGGATTTCGATTTTGAGATTATTCGAGCACTTCATTTTCTTTTTTAATTTCAGCTGTCGCTTGCAATACACTGTAATGTGATAGTGATAATAACCATTCTTTTTTCCTTATTGTTAGCATCGCTGCCTTATTTTTCATTGAGAGTAAAAAGTACGTTCAAACTGTAGTACAGAACAGCGCAGAAAAGCACGAGAAAGGTCATAGAGTTGATTATGAACAGAATGTGGGTTTGCAAACGGGTTGAATTATTCAGTTTTGGATTTCCGGCAAAAAGAGTTGTATTTATTTCTTCCACCGAAACGGAGCTGACCTGCAACAGTATGATCGTTTTGATTTATCTTGTCTGTTTAAACAATACCACACTCTCCCTTTGTCATGTCCTGATTACCGTTCATGACAAGCTCAGTCGTCACGATGCATAATCGATGAATCTGAGCGTGACAAATCGACTTCCGTAAATCAAAAGAATGAAGATCGCGGCACTCCTAGATCAAGAGAAGCGCTTCGAAGAAAATGATCTGCCATAACCCGTCTTTTCTGATAAATTGCGATTATGTTCTCTCGTTCCTAAGCTATAATAATGTTTTCCTAGATCTGTAATGCTTGATCTTTCTAAGCTTGAATTGAGGGGAAACCAAAAGTTGCGCTACCAAACTCAAGGACAACAACAAGGAGATAAATAGGTTTCAGTGACACATTTACTCCGTACACTACTTATTCAATACCTGACCAGTAATTTGACTCTAGGCAACAAGTCAATCAATAGGAACTGCGAAGAATGCTGCTGCCATTAGTGCGCCAGCGCGTGTGCCAAAAGAGCGTCAGTCCCTGGCCTGATTGTCCTCGCGCTCGTGTCACAGGCGCCCATGAGGGGCGTGGCCTCCATGCGCTCGCTCCAACTGAGTTTTGTCGCCTTCCGGACTACACCCGGTATGAAGGCACCCTTAGAGCCATTTTCTCGGCAGGGAAGGCATGCTGTGCAACCAGGATTGCACTGTTTTCATACCTGGGCGATAATGAACCTTTCGCGTTAAAATCCTGAGTCGTTGAGTTTTGCCGATCCACTGCCTTTAAATGATCCGGAGTCGGGTATCAGAGCAGTTCATGCAATGGATATATTTCGTCTAATATGCTGATACTCAACAATGCTTTATCTGACCGCTGAAAGATTTTATGGATTTTGGTTTTAATCCTGTATTCATTTTTTGCACCAAAAAACTGTCATAACTCGGCGTTCAGAGGCGCTTGGCGGATAATGAAGGCAGATCTGAAACCAACTACAATGCTCCTGTGGTATGACTTTCATTGAAACGCCACTTCGATCAAACTTCCCTCGTAAGTTTCCCCGAGGGTCAAGCAAGGGGTGTGGCACACGATCGCTGGTTGCGACCCCCCCCCCCTCCCCCCCCCGCCCCCACCCCGCTCCCTGTTGCTGTCTTAGTAAGACCCCCTCCTTCTGAATTATATACCTAAGATAGCATTACCTGAAGGCCCTATCAAACCTAATGGGCAGCATATCCATAATGAGCATGTCTAACCCCTGTAGACAAAGTTTGAGCTAGTTATGAAGATTCAAGATGCTAGGCTACCTAAGTGAAATGGTCATTTTCCAACATGGTTAACTTTGTTTCAAAAGTGAATTAGCTATCCATTTTCGCATTCAAGACAAAGCATTACTCCTTTGTTTATCTCAGAAATCCCTCTTCAAAAGACCTTTAAACTGTTGAATTAGAAGCCAACCTCATTTTTCCCATTTTCGCTTTTGATGGCTGTGCTTTCACCAAATATTACTCAGAGCAAGGAAAACGAATCAGGCTCAAATCACTCCTGTAAGAGAAGGTCTAGGCTATCGATCCATATACAGGCTTTTCAACATAAGAGTCACAGCCTCCGCTTACGCGGCTCCTCCAACGCGGCCGCCTCGCTCAGGCCGCGCGCGGCGTTTGCTGCGCATCGCCCGGATTTCGCCAAGCTTCAGTCGACGCGCAGCCTGGTGCCACGAACTCTGCGCGGAACTAAGCGTTGCGGCCGAGCGGGGCAGCTGTGACACTCAGGTTGTAAAGCCCTATATATACGGTTTGCTAAAAATGTTTTTATGACATAGTTAATGGGATGTTGCACACCCCCTGAAAAGCCGTGGCTGCTACACCTTTTAAGAGGGTGTGCCACACCCCGTTAACTATATCAAGAAAACATTTTTAGCGAACTATATTTATATGGATCGATAGCCTAAGCCTCGTAGATTTCATAGGAATGTTCTAAGCCTGATTCGTCTTTTTAGCTCTGAGTAATATTTGATAAAAGCGCAGCCATTAAAAGCGAAAAGTGGGAAAAATGAGATTTTGGTTGGCTTCTATTTTCACAGTTTGGAAGTTTTTGAAGCGGGATTTCTGAGATGGACAAAGAAGGAGTAGTGCTTTGTCTTGAGTGCAGAAACAAATGGCTAATTCACCTTTGAAACGAAGTTAATCATGTTGGAATATGACCATTTTACTTAGGTAGCCTAGTATCTTGAATCTTCAGAATTCGCTCAGACTTTGTCTACAGGCATTAATTGACATGCTATGTGCTGGCGTTCAGTGGATTTTTGTTTTACCGTGCTTCTGTCAGACACGGTTGGATTAATTCTTTATTGGCGAGCCGGGTTCTCCGGCAAACTTGTACAAGCACTGCAAACAAAAAGGGGCGGCGCCCAGACTGTAAGTATTCGGAAGCTGCCAGCTGGCAGCTTCCTTTGTTAGATGCTATCGCAAACAGGGCAAAAACACTGTTTTGCGAACTAGGTTCGCGGAATCGTAGAAAACATCAGTATAAGACATCGAACAACAATTACGGTAGCGTCGGCTACGACACTCCGGCCGAGGAGAATGGAAAAGGAAATAAACTCAAATAGCATGTATACATTCGATAGAGAGTGTTAGTGGGGGCAAAGAGGAGCGATAAAAATGGGAAATCAAACTTGACCAAACGATACGGGGTTGAGGGAGACTATGAAAAATAAGAAAGGATGAAAGGAAAAACGGGAACTAATAAAAAGGACAAAACGAACAAAAGCATGTTATTGGGGGAATTACCAGATGGGTGAGATGACGGTGGATTTGGACGGCGGTGGAGTTTGTTGGGCGGTGGAGTTTGTTGGACGGTGGAGCGACGATGTTGGGGGATAGGGCTGGATACGACGTTTTGCAGACTTTCACATCTATAATGGTAGAATGAATTTATTGATTAAATTTGATGCACCAAGAATTGTGTGGTTTTGAAGCCTTGCGTCGCTTGAACGACATGTTTCCCTGCCCCTTGTTTGAACAGAGCAAAACATTGTGGGCTCGGCCACATACTGGACAGGTGACACCGCATTCATCGCGGTGTTTGGATTGTAGGCAGCGCTCGCATAATTCAAGAGCTGCTGCTTGGACTGCTCTGGCCACAGCATCAGGGTACTTGCAGCACCTTCCAGTGGGGTGCTGGTCGCGATTATCCGCAACTGTGCAGAATACACAGTTGCTCCTCAGGTTAGTCCTTTCGACCATGACCTCTAGTTGGTGCCGCTGTTCGTGCATTAGTTGGATGATGGCGTCCACCTTTCCGTTGATTGCTGCCAGCGCCGACTCCATGCGCTCTCGCATTTCTTTTACCGCATCCGCCAGCGGCTCGATATGCAGCGCTACATATTTCGTCCATCGGCATAGTCAGTTGAGACGAGTATCAGTATGAAGCTTGCTGAGCGACTAGGGATTTATAAAGCCCCTCTAAACTATTGTAAGGGTTCAAAAGGCTGCCAACTGACAGCTTCTTTTGTTGCATGCAAATCGCAAACAAGGCAACAGACACTGTTTTGCGAAATGGGTTGTGGGAACGGACTGGGTCGTGGGAACGTACAAACCATCAGTACAAAATTATTGGGTAATGCATTACGGTAGCGTCGTCTATGCTTAAGTGATAGATGAGTATAAGGAATATATGTTTGTGAAGCCGCCTGATTTACTTATTTATCGTTGGCTGCTCTTAGACATTTATACAACGTTTGGACTAGCAAACCACTTGCCTTCAACATTGTCACAACGCAGATGTATGCTAATTTGGCCAATGCTAAAAGTAGTGCAGGTCCAAAGAAATATGTTATCACGGTCAAAACTGTTATCGTCCCCAACATTGACAGGGACAGTTTCCAATGTTCTTGAATGATATTCCAAACTGGTTTCAAGCCTGGAATTTTCATTTCTTTAAGCCAGTCTATTTACATCTGGGATTGACCTCCATTTTCGAATAGTACCTCTGGTAGTATGTCTGGTAGGAAGCTGAGTGTGCCTTTTAGATTGCATGTTACCATCTTATTGTTGCATTGAGATATGCATTTTTCTTGTACGACAGCGTGCTGATAGTTTAATGCGATGGCACTTACTTTTCCTCCAGCTTGATATTTCACAGAAAATGTGTGTTCTCCACATTCACTGATGACCCACGCTGGTTTTTCAGTGGTGCATGTTACATTGACCTGAACACCCTCGGCAGTTATAACAACCAGTTACCCTGCCTGCGTCAGTTTGGCAGTCTTGTTCGAGTAAGTAGTCAGCACTGTCCTTTAGTGAATGTGATTCGATGGTTACCCCGACCTTTCCTTGCATTGTTTCTGCAAGTATTTCTGTTTCTCTTTTCATTAGAGTTACATACGGTGTATGGACTGGTAGTACATTTGAGATGTCTTTTCTTATGTTTGTTAGAGACATTGTGGAGCAGTGGCAATTGATTGCCACATGTGCGTCTTCACATGCGCAAACCATCTGATTGGAGCAAGTTCCGAAATCTTCTGATGCTGCTTTCAGCGTTGAGCATTTGGCTGCTAGTTGGTAACCCGCTGGTAATAATAGAGCTTCTGTGCGCGAGTTCGCAATCTCTCTGTTTAGTATTGATATGAAAGGGGTTCGAACCGACGTAATTGTCATTGCTATGCCTTGGAAATGGTGCTTGATGTAGGGTGAACTGGTAATCATAGTTTCTTTTTCTCGATTGTACAGTAGTACACGTAATTTGAACTGGATAAGCGGTACCCATTTCATACAAGAAACAACTTCGTAGACTTCCTCTGTTTCTGTAATATGTGCTACTCTATAAAATGAGCATGCTGGGAGGAGCAGAAGGCATCCGCAACTGAGTCCACCGCAGGAGTGCCGTCAACCAGAGTATCCTGGATGGCGGTGCGCTATGCTGAGTTCCGGTATGGTCGTATTGTGAGTTGCTTTCGCGCATTTGTGATTGACACATGACCCCGCCTGTGAGCATCGAATTGCACTGAAGAGTTTAGTGGTTGTTTCTCTGGTGAAATATAACGATCGGCTCGCACATTTCATTATAGTGGGATAGCGTTCTATTCAATCAAACCTACTGATCTGTTTGCATGAATGATGCTGATACAGAGTTTGACGTCAATGTTATTGAAGAGAATTTCCCTTTTATATTCGTATGAACAGTTATTTCGATTCGTGCATACTAAACTTGTTTCATGGCGTATTTGACCTTCTTGACAGGCTTGTACTGTGCCCGTCAGAACAGCTGCCAGTATGCAGACCAAAGTCAAATTACTTGTCCTGTAGATTGATGGGATGTTAAAAACGTTGAGCTGCACACTATTAGTCTCCTGCGCACTCACGGTCACGTTGATGTTCTCGTGATTGGCTGCCTCTGGAGCTTTTGTAAGCCATTCTCGCATGTAAGCGTGAATCATTATCACTGTTGTTAGAACTGCGTAAATTACAAGCCCCAAGGATATTATTGCACCAGTTGGCCAACAGTGAGGATTTGCTAGCAACTTTTTCGAGAGAATCCCTTGGAAATGGTCACATATATGTGGTTGCAGACAAGTCGATTGTTCTGTTACCTCATTTACACTTTGTAGATATCTCAGTGACACCAATATTGAGTTGTTCAATGTCGTGGGTGGTAATGTCTACTCCAGTTTCGGACTCGATATTTCAGGAAACTTTTGGCAAAATTCCCCCAAACATAATTCGAATGTTGTGTTGGGATTGATGACGCTGACCCGGCCATTTTCACATGTGAGCTTTTCGGATGGAACTGTGTTAATGAGACACAAAGCCGCTATGAGTGATATCAGTATCTGGTTTATTGGAGTTGATGATCTACTGTGTTCCTCATCAATTTCATCTGGTTCTTCCAAACTTCTTTCAAAGTTGCGAATAATTGAACGAGCATCAATTGTAGCTTGTCTTTGTGGCCTCCTCTGCTGAGTTTCCTCACGACCTATTGGGAGATCACTGTCTCTGGTGTCTGGCGGGTCATTAATTACGTTTGTTTCTCCATGCTCACTTTGTAGTTCAAGCGGATATATAACATTCAAAGGTCTTTGCCACACATGTTTATTTGGTAGCAATATTTTCGCTGATCTAACTTGTCCGTCCAAGCTCTCGATCACCTCAATAATTTTTCCAAATGACCAATTTCCTCTGTTAAGGTTTTCTTGTTGAATGAGGACTACTTCGCCCACGACTGGTTTTCTCAGTGGGATATGGCGAGGTTGTTTAAGTGACAGTCTTTGTATCTCCCGGAGCGCAGTTGGATACTCCATCTCAGACAGCGGATAGGACCCTCCGCCGGAGAAATGGCAGGGTCGCGGCGTTTCCCCAGCGGTGGGTCTCCCATTTGTCCGGCGGAGACCTCCCATTTCTGCTCCGGATACCTCCCATTTTCTGCTCCGGAGCCCCCCGATTTTGTGCGCCGGAGCCCCCCGATTTTGTGCTCCGCAAGTCTGCCGCGGCATACTGTAATTAGCCCTAATTAAGCTCCAAACCCCATGTGGGTTTGCAGCTTAATTAGGGCTAATTACAGTATGTTGCGGCAGACTTCGTCTTGTCTCTAAACTTTGTCGACTTTGTCTCTAAACCCCACCCAAATCAGCCGAATACGACCCCCCCCTCCGGGTAAAAGTACAGCGCGACCCTCACGACCCCGTCTTTACCCCCTCCCTCTCACCCCTAGCGTTTGTGGATAGAAGATAGAAGAAAGAACCAAGAGATAAGACATTTATTTCAAATTTTTCAAACTTCTTCGAAAAATCATTTTATATCGTTAATCATTTCACACCCACTGGTGTAACGAAGAATGAACCTTTCCAACCAAACAACGGTTTGTGGAACAGTTAAATTGCAGTCGCAGTTGGCCCATATCATCGGCGACTCTTAAAAGCCTTAAAAGCCTCTTAAGCCTGATAAACACCATTAAATTTTTCTGAGATATGTGAAAGACATCTTACCATTACGTAGTAATCTCCGAGGTTGATCTCTTGGGTTTTGCCAACAGGTGACAAAGCAGTCAGAAGCGCCTTGTTCTGATCGGTTACTCCTTTAGCGGCGAGATTAAAATTGGTCATAGCCTCAAAGAGCTACCAGTATATACTGAAGTTATTAGAAAGCTGCTTGTATTACACACTTTCAAGGGTTTTCCTATTCCAGAGTATGCAATGGCACTGTAAAATGTCATGACAGGGCGAAGTTCATCAGGGATACTGCTTGCAGATAAAGTGCAAAGGTTCTAAATGCACCAAGTCCATTGCGTGACATAATGGAAAAACATGAATTGAATCAGTGGTATTTGAAAATTATAGCTTGCAAAGACACCTACATCAAAACTGCATACTGCTCATGCAATGCTAAAGATCTGGCCAAGTAAACCTGCGCGGAATATAGTGATAGAAATAGTAATCCAGCCTGGACATAATCTGTTTGACAAAACAAGAACGACACTGCATTGAATTATACTCCGAGTATTTTGTCCAGAAAAACGTTGAATTCCGGGGATGGGTCAGCTTCTTCAAAGCGTCCTATGTGCGCCACCTTACTCAGCCAATCCATGCCCTCTCCTTTGAAGAACCAACTACATAGAGACACCTGCACATTATCCCTAGAAAGATTTCGAGACACTAGATTTCGCATATCTGGGACACGCATGCGTCTATTCAGGCCCACTTTGCCAATTTCAGAGACAGCTGATCGTCAAACAATCTATACTTACTTACTTACTTAGATACTTAGATGGCCCGGCTTCACGTGACGTGCGGGCCCCAGCTCAGAAGTTTCCATTTTTCCCTGTCCCTCGCTTCTGACATCCACGATCTTCTTGGCTGACGTCGGTGGCTGCGTCCACGAGTTCCAGGTGCAGAAATCGTATCCAGCTGATTTCTCAGCTGGTCCATCCGTTCCACGAACACGTCTGCCCATCTCGTTGGAGGTCTTCCTCGGGGACGTTTGGCTTCGCGAGGAATCCACTCCGATGTTCTTAGTGTCCATCTGTCGTCTGTTCTTCTCATTATGTGACCGGCCCATCGGTGTTTGGCTTTCGCGACGTATTCCGCTGGGTCACGAAGACGGGACATTCTTCTCATATCCGTGCTGCGAAGTCCGACTAGATGTTGCTTGCGTCGGGTCATCTTCAGAAGACTGCGCTCGAGCGCTCTGTGGGTGGTCCGTAGAGCTTTCGACGTGGCTACAGTGTCGGCCCAAGTCTCAGCTGCGTAACAGAGCGCCGGGAGAACGGTTGAGTCGAACAGGTGGGCACGAAGCTGCGGGTCCGTCAGTTGGTCGGTGGCTTCCTTCAGGGGCCCGAAAGCGGCCCAGGCTGCTCTTCTTCTCCTGTTGAGTTCTTCCCTCAAGTCGTTCTCCATGTTCATCGAACGTCCGAGATACACGTAGGAAGACGTCTCCATAATCGGGGTGCCTTCCAATTCCATTTCTGCATCTTCGCAAAGGGCGTTCTTCATGAACTGAGTCTTCTTCCGATTTATTCGCAGTCCGATCTTCTTCCCTACTTCGTTTAGTTCCTTCAGCATCGTCTCTGCTTCGGTGATACTGCTCGAGAAGAGAACGATGTCGTCCGCAAAACGAAGGTTGGACAGGAATCTCCCATCAACTCGTATGCCTCTCTCGTCCCAGTCCAGTGACTTCATCACCCACTGCAAGGCCGCGGTGAACAGCTTCGGCGAGATTGTGTCGCCTTGTCGGACCCCCTTCCCGATTGGTATGGTCAGGGGGCGATGGAATAGCTGCATCGTCGTTGTACAGTCCTTGTAGCAGTCGGCTAACGTCCTCACGTAAGCTGGGTCCACTCCTTGATCGACTAGCGCAGACAGGATGGCGTTGGTTTCGACGCTGTCGAAGGCTTTCTCGTAGTCGACAAAGGTTAGGACGAGAGGCAGTCGGTACTCCCGGCAGACTTCTATGACCCTCGAAACGGTCTGGATGTGGTCCATGCAGCTGAATCCTTTGCGAAATCCAGCTTGTTCTTGGGGTTGGGCTTCATCCAGTGTCCTTGATATTTTATTTTATTTATTTATATATACACTCATGGTGTACCATTAAAGACCGAAATCGCACAACAAAAATATGAACACGAAAGAAAATCAAAAGACCAGCCATTCCTCAGTCACAGAACAAAGGTGAGTTTTGCAGATGAAACACAAGTACTGAAGCCCTTACCATAATGACGTAGACATATGATTATATAGATCAGCAAGCGGAAGGAAAGAACGCTTTACCCAATTCTGCAGAATCTTGCTCCTTCTATTAAGACCCCGCTTTTTGGGCGTCAGCGAGCCCCCCGGTCAAAGCTAGCTGACTTGAACCCGCAAAATATTTGTAGAAAAGAGCAAGATTCGAAATGGGAGCGGTAGGAATATGTAGGTAGGGCTAGGGGTGGGGGCTACGGTGAAAGGATAAGATGCAAACTCGAGGTTCTGGTGAATGGGACTGGTTGATCTACTCAGCATAATAACATCTTCAAGCTTGTTAGTAACATGGCAAAAAGCAAAAAATGATTTAGTAAAATCAAGCCTCATATGATCATATCAAGAACACTTGGCGCGACTGCAGAGAAGCGCAAAACAGTGAAGGTACGAAGAAGTATCCTGCAAAAAAGAAGAAACAGCACAAGAAGCCTCCGTATTCAACAAGATTCATTCACTTGCATGAGATCGACACTCCTAAGCCTACGCTTGAAAGAAGATACGCTTTGCGCAGAGAGCACTTGAGGAGGTAATCGGTCAAGCCACCTGGACGTTCTATAAAAGAAACTGTTAAAAACACGCAAGAAACGTTTTCTGTTGATGCGAGGGTAATGGATGTTGAACATACCCGCTCTAGCAGTAGGTCTGAATATCCAGTACTTACTTGCATCCAGCCTAAGTTCTTTACGCAGGAGTCGAAATGCAAAAATGAGATCGTGATACATACGTCTGTGTTCCAAGGTTTTCATAGCCAAATGTTTCAAACGATTTTCGTATCTTGGCATTTCGGTGTAACTTATGCTTTTGCGGCATCTTAGAAACAAAATACGAGTGAAAGTCTGCTGGACTTTTTCTAATTTTGAAATGTTCTTTTTCAAAAAAGGATTCCAAACTATAGAGCAGTATTCTAAATGGGGTAACACATAAGATTTGTAAAGGCGTTTCAAAACAAAGGGGTTATCTACGTGGATCGTCCGAAGGATTGTGAATAAGGCCGAGTACGCTTTGCTCACCACGTTATCTATGTGATTCGAGAAACTGAGGTCGGCATCAACCAAAATGCCCAAATCTTTAGCAATGGAACAATTCTTCAGCGTCGTTCCATTTATCTCATAAATGGGATTTTCCTGACCACCGAAATGCATGACAAGGCATTTATTCAGGTTGAGGGGAATACCAGAATCAACTGCCCAACGCATCAAGATCTCCAATGAGTTCTTTATCGCTGTGCGAACCTCAGTACAATTTTGTTCACTGTAGCATCCGTAAATCTTGATGTCATCCGCATACATTTGTACATGAACATCAGCGGATGTGATCAAGAGTGACGGAAGCTCGGCGGTATATATTAAGAAAAGTAACGGAGAAAGGACGCCACCTTGTGGAACACCACTCACGCATGCATGTCGATCTGAAAAGTGATATCCCACTCTGACCGTCATGCCTCTATTACTCAAGTAGGATCTAAGCCACTTCAAAAGATAACCTGCTAAACCAAGTCGCTCTAATTTCTGCAGAAGTATTCTATGATCAACCTTATCAAATGCCTTGGAAAGGTCCACATAGATAACATCCACCAACTTACCTCTGTTAAGGGCTAAGTTCCAGTCATAAGCAGAATCAACAAGATTTGTGGCGGTTGATGAACCTGCCATAAACCCGTGTTGATTAGCTGGGATTACTCTGATCTTAGCAAGCCATGAAAGTAGTCTATCGCGCAAAATCTTTTCCATAACTTTCACAGCAGTTGGAATCAAGCTAATGGGGCGGAAATCTGCTAGTTGACGAGCGTTAGGGACTTTTGGAATTGCGGTTATCAGTGACTCTTTCCAAATCTGTGGTACCTCACCCGACAATATAGATATGTTGAAAATGTGGGCAAGAGGTGTACACAGAGAAGGGGCACACTTTTTGAACACAATTTGTGGGATCCCATCATACGTCTCAGAACAAGAAGACCTCAATTTGTTCAGAACTCTAAGGATCTCGGAGGCACGGAAGCAGCTATCTGACAGATGGCGAGTGGAAGCGAATGTCGGCATGCCATTTTCCATGATACTGCTATGATCAACAGGATTGAAGACGCCAGCGAAGTAGGACGCTAATGCGCGTGCTTTCTCATCATCAGTCACACATGATTCTCCTTTCTGGTCGATTATTACAGGAAGACATCGGCTGGGCTTTAGTTTTTGATTGACGTATTGGAAAAATGACTTGGAAGAAGCTTTTGCAGCAAGTCTTTGCTCGTAGTTGGCTAAGAATTTTTTCATATGAAAATCAAGATCTTTGCACACTTTTTTATACAGGGGGTTCGACAGTGGTTCAGTCAGATTACCGAATAAGCGTTCTTTTTGTGCTAGCAAGTTCTGTACTTGTTTAGGGTAGGCAAACTGGCGGCGAATCATAGCTCTGAATGGTACAAATCTCGAGAAACCATCATACATAACCAAACAAAATCTGTAATACACATCATCAACTGATTCGTAATGATCAAATAAATCCAGCCAATCTATGGAGCTGAGATAGCTGTTCAGAGAAACGAAATCAGCCCTGCGAAAGTCGGGAGTGGGCAAGAATGCTGGAAGTGAATCTGGCCAGCTCGCCGAGAAATGTATGGTTTGATGATCAGAGGTGGCAAAGGGAGGCATGATACGTGTGTCCGAAATGGTGGTGGAAGAGGTCGAGAAAACGAGATCGAGCACATTTGAGCCATGAGTAGCATCTTTCACATGTTGCTTAAGTCCTGCATTGTGAAAGAATTCAAAGAACATAGCTGAAGTTCTGTTAAGAGCCAAAAGCTTGGACCAATCGATATGCAAATTAAAGTCTCCCAAAACAATCGTGTCTTCTTGCTCACTGACGAGCTGACACAGTAGCTCGATAAGATTTTCATTACTAGAGATCGTGCTATTAGGCGGCCGATAAATTGCGATAAATCGCAAACAAGCAGGCTTCTGCGGAGACGATATGTCCACGCAAAGGACATTGGACATAGTACTAATGTCGGAAAAATATGACTTCACTAGAATGGTGCTTTTGGCTATACAGCAAATACCGCCGCCTTTACGATGACATCTATCACTACGTAACACATAATATGGAAGATCTCCTACAACTTCACTGTCACGGATTTTGTTAGTCAGCCAAGTTTCTGTCACGAAAAGAATATCTGGTTTATTTTGAATCAAGAATGAGTGCAGGTGGTGCAATTTATTCACTAGGCTCCTTGCGTTGAAGAGAAAAACATCAATTTTCTCTCTAGTGCCATGCAATCTTATAGGTTTCCCGGCCCCGACCTAGGTAGCTCGGACACACGTGCTAACTGCCCCCTATAGACTACCCACTCACGACTGGGCTTACCTTCGTTTCTCTGGCGAGCGATCTGTCGAAGCTCGTACTCACGCTTTCGCTCCTCCTCCGTCATGCTACGCCGTATAAAGACATTTGGATATCCGGCATGACGGAGGAGGCGCGCATTGGAAAGAGCCTTCTTCCAGTAAAAGGAAGAAGGCATCACGACTTTGATAAGTCGTGGGCGTGAGTTATTAGGCCTACCCATCCAAAAAGCCTCCGAAGGGCTGCAATCAACATCGACAGCGTCGAGAATATCCCCAACTTTTTCTTGGAGATACTCTCGACGCTGCGATGGACGCAAGCCCTCCGGAGGTTCAGGCACCCCGCTTATAACAAGGCTTCGCGCTCGCCTTTCGGCTTCGATGACCTCCGAGAAACCTGCAGAAATCTTATCGGACAGAGCCGAAAGCATCCTACCAATAGTAGGATCCTTATTGAGGTCTGTTATGGATGCTATTAGCTCTTGAATGGTCATAGTGCTAAAATCGCCCTCCCCATTGCCCCGGTTTCTCATATTCTCATCCTGGGAAACTGGAAAACTCTGCGAGTTTGCTTTTTGATCTTGCACTTTTTGAGAACGAGACTTAGGCGCCATAGCTTTTGATCTACCGTAGTTCGATACTCAAAGAAGGATCCAGGCAGCCTTCAAATCACACAGGAGGAGAGAAAACCTGAGCAGGGGATTACGAATAAGCAAAAGACCATGCAAAAGCAGCAGAGAGCAGTATAGGGAGCAATTGTGTTCAAAAAGAACCAAGCACAAGTGTATGAAAAAGAAGATAAATCAAAATTACGAGAGGAGCTAGAAAAACGCCGCCGCACTCGATGCAGGTCAATGCGATATGCGAGCGAGGATAATCTTCGTGAAAAGCTTGTACAGCACACTCAGCAAGCATATTGGACGATAGTTCCGAAGATCCTCCCGTTCACCCTTCTTGAAGAGAGGGACGGTTCTTGACGTTCTCCACTGGTCGGGAATCTTCTCCTTCTGAAGGTAAGATGTCAAATGCGACGCTAGAATCTCGTGTAGACGGTGTCCTCCGGCTCGCAGAAGTTCGACGGAAAGATGATCTGGTCCTGGAGCCGTGGACGTCTTCATGGTCTGTATCGCGATACGCACTTCAGCAGGTAGAATTCGTGGTGGTACTTCTCCAGTGGGAACAACGGGCATCTGCACGGGTGTTGATGAGCGGAAGAGGTTGGTGTAGAAGTTCTTCGCGATAGATTCCATCTTGTATCGGGAAGAAGTCGGAGTCCCGTCTTCGTTCAGTAGTGCAGCCAGCGGTACGTGATATTCGCAGAGGTCCCTTCGGCACTTCTTGAGACTTCGTCTTCTTTCTGCTGCTTCCAGTATCTTGGCTTGCCTGTACTTCCTGAGATCCTCTTGCAAAGCTGTTCTGCAACTGGTGTTGGCAATCAGTCGCTCGAGATGAGTTGCATTCGGATCCTGCCTCAATGATCTTCTTCTTTCGAGCAATTCCTTGGTGGTCTTCGAGATGCGGTCCAAGTTCTTCTCAGAGGTCACTGAGGCGCATTCTCCGCAGGCTCGCAATCCTTTCAGAAGCCGGTCGTAGTCGTACGTTGGGTCCTCCTCGATGGGCCAGTCACAACTTGATATGAGCTCTTCCAGCCTGTTACCGTCATAAACGACTTCCTTCCTTCTCGCGGCACTATGACAGACTTTCTTTTCCAGCCTTCGGCTGAGTCGTATCTTCGCTCGAAGGAGGCGGTGATCGGAGCCACTACAGAAGGATGGAACTACAGAGACATCGAGTAAGCTCCACCTTCGGTTGGTGAGAATGTGGTCGATCTCCGCGTGGGTCGTTCCGTTGGGCGATTCCCATGTCCACCGGCGATGTTCCCTCTTCATAAAGATGGAATTTCCATGGAAAAGTCGTGCGGCGGAGAGAAGCCCAACAAGACGGTTGCCGTTTTCGTTCCGGAGCCCATATCCAAACTTCCCGATCCTATATTCCCTTTCCAGTGGCATCCCGATTTTCGCGTTGAAGTCGCCCACAACAAACTTGTAAAAGGACTTCTCGTTGCGGACGACCTCCTCCACATCTTCGTAGAAAGCATCTAGTTCTGATTCGTCAGCTGCTGATGTTGGAGAATAGCAGTTGATGATGCTGATGGTCTTCTGATGTGGAGGTCGTAGTCGTAGGATGCTTAGTCGAGGTGATAGGATCTCGTGCGAATCGACAAGATGGACGATAGATGGGTGGACGACAAAGCCGACGCCTCCCACGTTTCGTGATGGAACCTTTTCACCACGAATGATGAGGGTCCCATCACTCATCTGTCGCACGTCCTTCTTCCTGGACTTCGTTTCCTGCAGAGCAATGATGTGGTAGTTGATGTGCTCTGCAGCGTCGAGAAGAGCGTGGAGGTCGGCGTTTGTGGAGACTGTCCTGGCGTTGTAAGTGCAGAGCATGAGGCAGTCTCCATGGCGTGTCGTCCGGGCAGACGTGTCGTTTTTGTCCAATCCGAAAGGCGCCCTGAGTACCCTGACATCGTTCTTGCTACCACCCGGCGCCGTAGGCGGGATCCGATGTACAGGGTTTTTTCTAAATCTTCTTGCTGTCTGAGTAATAAAATTTGTTCCCCTACAAGAGGTGGCTTACTAGGCCTACTCTTGATTTCCACGGGGTGATCGCTGACCCCGGGCTTGGAGCGGGGAGGGACCGCCTAGCGACCAGAAGAAGCCAGACGGCGGAGAATCTGGCGCGGCCAGTTCTTAGCTAGGCATCCGGCCGAAACCGGAAACGTCGAACTCCTTCACAGCTTGGGAGGCCCTACCAGAGTATACACTCGGCTGTGCATCGCAGTTCGACACCCAGTGTCACCCCCACGCCACGATGAGGCGACCGACCATTGTGGGGGAAACAATCTATAATTGATGATATTGCTGAGTTTCCTTTCGAGATCAGAAAACTCAAACATCGGACAGTCGTAACGCCCCTGAAATCTTATTGAAATACCACAAACTTGAGAAAACTGTTTTTACCCACACTGTCTTCAGAGTAGAGCTGAATTAATGCTAGCAAGCTCCGCGCAATATCAAGACGCTGTTTCACCACGTGCCGTAGTCGTGCTGCTATGAGTCCGCAAGTAAAGGATCCACCAAATAAAGTGTCATCGGGAGTCGGCTCTACTGTACTATCATTCATTCAAACAAAGGATAAGTAGAAATGCTATATACCAATGATACCTGGGGGAGATTGAGATGCTTGGATGGCTTCCAAGAACAAACTTATGATTTGAGACCATTTCTGGACCACCTAAGTTTAGAAATCCGTAATCACTAATATCCGATAAACGCATGTCAAATCTCACAATCTGTGATCGCATGAAAGTAGAATCATGGGCGGGTCCGTCCGACATCACATACTCAGCTAGCCCAAGCTCGTCTTCCTCCTGAATTCTGAGGATAAATGGTGGTTTGAAACGCCCAGTAAACAAAAGTCCTCTTCCCCTGATATGAGGCTAACATCATGAAAAAAGAAAAGTAAAAACAAGGATTCACCAACAAAATCAAACAATTTGACTAAACAGATATCAAACCTTAGCCGCAGCTCTCTCCAATGCGATAGAAACCATTTTATCCATGCCTTCAGGTGTGGAACTTTCCAGCTCGTCCACCCTTTGCCTTTCACCCTCCACAACCACGGCAAAGCGATCCTTAACGGACACTAACGAGCATAACTCCACTAGTAGGATTGCCTTCACTAACCTGTTGCACCACTCCTGCCAACAATGATCCTGGCATATCAAGCAAAAAAAGGCCGACTGGGCCACGAGCAGCCTGTTCTAGTTGATCGCAGTTGCACCCGAGGTTATAAAAGAACCTGAATTGTAAAAGCCTGTTAATTGAAGATAACACAGCACAGGAAGAAGAGGAGTACTTGTAACTTTGCAACGAAAGATAACGGTTCATTCAAAGAAGTGAAAATTGCATACCTTTGTTCACCTTCTTTTTGAGCATTAAGCGAAGACGACTTGATTGCGCGGCCACCTTTTTGGGTGTAGTGAGCGTCAAACTAAACAATTCATATTCAACTCAACTTCGAATGGTACTTCGAATATTGTTCTATTGAAAATACTCCTACACCGTAACATATGCAACATGGCAAGATACCCACTTGATGATTTTGATATTTGGTGAAGAATCATACTCATACCTCTGGAGATCTTAGGTATGCGTCCACATGCGCGATTAATGCTAACCAGTCTCCATGAGCGCATTCACATTAAGCCTTGACAAACTATCTGGAATTAAGAGACATACGGTATTTGTAGGATTTTGTAAGATAATTTTCATCAAACTGACGTAAGCTTAGTAATTTGAATAAACATAATTTGCAAACTTACAGTAAGTATCGCCATAGTCCACAGTGAGATCGAGCTTACAAACATCAATTGAACGAACTTTCTCAGTCTAAAAATGCAAAACATTTGTTTCGTTCAAGATTAGACGGATATAGACCTCAGCATTCTAGGCATGTAATGTACCGTCACGATATATAGCGTAATAAATATCTTCCAACGCTTCTTGCCCATTTCGCACTCCTCCGAGACCGGATACATTGCAAACACCTCCTGATGAAGCCTCGCCCAAAAGCGGCTTCATCAACCCATACTCAAGGAACACAACTTCTTCTGCTTTATCGTCTGGGAAAAAACGCGGTGAATTAAACGTTGTTGGAAAGCAAGCTCAGTCCTTTCTTGACATTACTCACATTTATTGGCATGTAAGGTGACAACAACCAGTTGTCCTTCAGCCATGCAATAGGCGATCTAAATGATAGACTGCAAAATTCACTGCGTACTTTAGATGAGGATAAACACACCTTGGTAAACTGCGGCTCGTGCACAGGGGCTTTCAATCCGAGTGTCACGGTCGACGTGGTTCACCCCCTCGAGAGCCGCGTCGCATGGGTCTCTCACGTGGCACAAGGCCGCATCCGCTAAGGCTTTCACGTTACCGGGTGCGGTCGTGTACTACGCGAGAGACCCATGCGACGCGGCTCTCGAGGGGGTGAACCACGTCGACCGTGACACTCAGATTGAAAACCCGTGTATAACAGATGCGCGAAACGCCGCAAGCATTGTCGCAAGCATACGCATGAGCTCCGTGCCCAACCAATCAATAACTCGTGATAAAGTGTAAATTGAACATACCAAAGAATAAAACGATCAGGGAACTGACTGTTCGCGGGAAACGTGCAAACGCCTGAAGATGGCTCAACATTTGCATTGATGGAATGCAAAGCGGCATCTGAAGACAATCAAAAAATCAAAACTCCCGAGACCTCGAAAAAAGAAGTAGAGCTGTGACTTACTAGTATTCACTACGAATGTCCGCACTGGTTTTGGCGCAAAACTCTCGGTGAAAACAACCTCTGTATCGTATGGGATCCATACCAGTAAACACAGATATCTTGAGTTGGTTTGGTTACGTCCAAACATAGTGTATACTAAACTGAAGTCAAAATCAACAACAACAACAGAAAGAGTAGAAGTGCTAAAGCTGAAGGTAGAAAAGCTGCATTACGAAAATTTTGAAAGCAATGCTGCACAATGCAATGCATGCTCTTCACAGTTCATTACCTCTGCCCTGAAAACAAAATATGGTATGTAAAAAACAGTCATATTGATAATTCGCGGAAAACCGCATGATAATCCCACACAGGCACGCGAGATGCGAACCACGCAAACGGCAAAGTGATTCATCGGTGGAGATAGCAATAAACGGATTATTTAGACGATACTTTCATCACAACAACACCAGATAGTTGCGCAACTAACCTCATTGTTTCGAAAATCCAGATTTAATCACAAAAACCACTCCATCAATAGTCTACGATGTCTCAGCAAGTCGGAAAGAGCCAAACACTGAAGGTGATTGAGTGCAACCGTACGAAAATTTCAAACATAAACCTGAAAACGAGGAACTTACAGCAACATAAACGCCAACGCGACGAAGAGCAACGCGGAAAAGAAAAAAACGGTAAAGAAACGCGCAAAAACAACAAAATCAAAGAAACGGCGACTAAAATATGGACAAAGAGCGTAAACAGAGGACTCATTACCGTGGAGTTAGACGTTTGCTTGCTACGCGCCAAATCGATACGCAGCCTGCTCCGGATACCTCCCATTTTCTGCTCCGGATACCTCCCATTTTCTGCTCCGGATACCTCCCATTTTCTGCTCCGGATACCTCCCATTTTCTGCTCCGGATACCTCCCATTTTCTGCTCCGGAGGCCTCCCATTTCTGCTCCGGACCCCTCCCATTTTCTCCGGCGCGGCTCTTCCAAATTTGGTGGACTCGCGCCGGGCAAATTTCTCCGGCGCGGAGTCCGCCAAATCTGGCAGAGTCGCGCCGGAGAAATGGCGGACCTTTGCAGCAGGGCCGGAGAAGCCTCCCACTTGCCTGCCAGTGATGTCACCGCGATGGACCGCCCATTTGCCCCTCTCTCATTGGTCAACTGGGTCTGGCGCGACTCTGGCAGTTTCGGACTGTCCGGCGGAGGGGTCCCGTCGATTGTCTGAGATGTTCCATCTTTCCCAAAACTTGTCAGCAATTTCTTCAGAGTTTTGGAGAGCTTCGCTGGCTTGTTGAGCTGTTTGTATAAGCTCCGGATCATAGTTTAGATCCGCAGTATCGCCTTCAACTTGCGGTCTTTTGAGATCGAGCTTCAGATTGGTTTGCAGAAAGTCTAGGGGACGTATTGGAATCTCGGAAACGTCCGAAGAATCTAGTTTGGTGAGCGGCCTGGTGTTGATTATGGCTTCGATTCTCGCTAGCGTCGTGCAAAACTCTGATAAGTCGAGTTTGCGTCTACCTATAGCTTTTCGAAAGGCTTTTTTCACGGTGCCAATCAAGCGTTCCCAGGCTCCTCCCATCCACGGAGCTCCCGGTGGATTAAAAATCCACTTTACACCACAGGTTGCGCTGTAGCTCATGACTGAGGATCCTGTAACTGGATCTTTTTCGAACATTGTGTCCAGTATATATTGTCCGACTCTGAAATTGGTGCCACAGTCTGTGCGTATAAGGCTAGGTATGCCTCTTCGGGAAATGAATCTGATGAAACTGTTGAGAAAGGCACCAGCTGTCATATTTTCTACAACTTCTAAGTGCACTGCTCTCACTGTGAGGCATGTATACAGGCAAACATATACTTTCTCTTGGGATTTCAAAGTGATTGGTCCCATAAAATCGCATCCAACTTTATCGAAGGGCTTCGTTATAATTACTCTGTCTTCTGGAAGTGACGGCATGTTTGGAGCGCCGAAAGGCAATCCCTGCCAACGCTTACACGTCACACACCCTTTGAGAAACCTGCTGAATGCTCCTGAAGGTTTTGGAATCCAGAAACGCTGTCTTGCAATTGACAGCGTGTGTTCTTTCCCACAATGAGCATTCTTTTCATGGATGTTTTGCAGAATCAGTCTTGCAAGATCGGATTTTGGGTCAACGTATATGGGCAACTTTGTGTCGTAGGGTAGCAGCGCGTTTTGGAGTCGCGATTCGTGACGTACTATGCTTTTTCATCCATGATAATCTTTTTATGTGGAAACCGCTTCTGCAATTTGTGTAGTTCTACGTTTTCATGGTAGTTTGCAAGTATGAACTGCTCACTAAGCTGCAATTCTTCAGCTGTTATCTGTTATCTCTGTTTCTTCACTGAAACTTGTCACATTCCTTAACTGTATTTGAAGACCGCCTTTTTCCCGTATCTTTCTCACCCAGCTTTTGATGGATTTGCAGACTCTAGCTATCGTTCTGGTGAGTTTATCTATACGGGAAAATTGTGTAAAGTCAGCGAGTACCTTGTTGTTATCTTGGTTTATGGCATCATTTTCCACAATGTTTGCCATCTGCACCTCCATTGGTGCTTCTTCAACGTTACTTTCCAGAATTTCAGATATGTCCCTTAGTTGTTTGTGTGGGCCTGGACCATTCAACCATTGTGGACCGTTAATCCAATCGATGTCATGAATTTGTCTCGAAGATACGTCACGAGTACCTGCGTCTGCTGGATTATAAGCCGTAGAGACGTGGTGAAACTTGACAGTTATATCGCTCAATTCCAGTTCGTTTTTCAGCTTTAGTATGCGTTCTCGCTGGTTTCGCACGAAGACTGGAAGTTTACGATTTGACTTTATCCAGCAAAGTGTGATTTCGCTGTCACCAACTACATGAAGTTCTCGTATTTTCTCAGTGATCGACCTAATTATATTTTTTGCGAGTCGCATAGCCATTAGCATGGCTAGCATTTCCAGTCTTGGTATAGTCTGCATTGTCTTTTTTAATGTAAGACGAGTCTTTCCGCTAACAAGTGATGTGATATTACCAGTTTCGATATGTTGCAGGAAACCGCAGGACGCGAGAGCGATGATACTAGCGTCTGCGAAGACCCAGAGGTCATAGCTAATTAAGTTGGATGCGCTTTGGCATCGTCCTATGAGCGAGGTACCCCTACTTCTGTATTATCGATTTCTTTGCAGGCTGTATTCCATTTTTTCGTTAATTCACTCGGTATGTTCTCATTCCAGTCGGTACCTGCTTCATATATCTCTCTCATTAGTGATTTCAACTTCACTGTTAATGGCGCGACTATGCCAATTGGATTTTAAATGGAGTTTAATTGACTCACAATGTCTCTCTTTGCTAGATTTTCTTTAACTGGAAAAGTCACTTTGATACTGAACGTATCTGTATCCGTGTTATATGGGACACCTAAAAATCTGATGTTCCCACCAGTTATTTTGTCAGTTTCTGGTATCTTTTTGTTAACAAATTCTGAGTTTGAGACGAATTCCCGCACATTCATACCAATTTCGGCGAAGAGCGCCTTTCCTTGAGTGTATTTCAATAATGCTTCACTCGGAGTATTGGCATGTAGGAGAATATTATCCACATAGATATTTTTTATGATTTCACAAGGAATTTGTGAAGTTTTTGAGTTCAGATAGGCTACTAGTGCCATATTGAGTATACTTGGTGAAGCTGTGACTCCAAAAGGAAGACGATTGAATCGAAATTCCACTATGTTGTTTTTTGTAGGTGGCAAATTTGGGTTTTTTAGCCATAAAAAACGGCATAAGTCTTTATGTGTTTCTTGCAATCTAATTTCCGTAAAAGCTGCCTCAATATCGCAAAGCAGAATTATTGCTCATTCTACTTGCCACGAGAATATCGTGTAATTTGTTTACAAACGATTCACCTTTGTGTATGACATCATTCAGGGAAGACATCTCTTTTGTTTTGAAGAGGCATCAAAAAAGACGCGTAGAGGTTTCGCCTTATGCTCGCGCCATACGCCTGAGTGAGGCATATAGTACACGCCTGCTGCGTTAGCAATATCATGAGTAACTTCTTCGATAATGTTTTGTTCTTCGTATTCGCGGATTTTGCAATACCAATCTTTCTGCTTTGTGTTTTGAGTATGATGAGCTTGCAGCGCAATTAGTCTCCTGTAAGCTACTGAATAGTTGTCTGTAAGCTCGCTTACATTGTTTTTGAGCGGGAAAGGAGCTGTAATAAATTCATCTTGGAAGGATATTTCCTTTGAGTAGCTTTCAAGTAGTTGAAAACTTCATCGTTTCGCGCATACTCGTCTTTTGAAATGCCGAGCCCTTCAAGTTCGAATAACTTGGTCAACAGTTCACTCTCCGATTCTATTATCGCTGTCATCCCATATGTAACGCTTGCGTTCTCATTTTGTCCGTCCATTGTACCACGTCCGTAGAGTGTGGGTCCAAAGATTGTCTTTGCCAATCGTAGACTCAATGGCGTCAGCATACTTTCTGAATTCTCGAACACGAAACTGTAGTATAGGTCAAGCCCCACCAAAACATCTGGATTTTGCATTTCGCCTCGTAGTTTTGTGTTTGCTATGCAAATCTCCTTCTTCTGAAGGAACTCCTTGTCAACTTCATTGAGTTTTACCGAAGGAAAACCCTTTGAAATCACCGGCTTCGTCTGTAACAAAGCTTCCATGTCCTTTCCGTACGCGGAGCCAACTTTGATTGACACTACCGTACTCTTAAACATTTCTGTGTGTCCGCCAAGACCAGACATTACGCATGTTTCTGTGCGTAATTTAGGTAGACCCAATCGTTGGGCCAGTTCTTCTCGAATTACCGTTTTCTGTGCTCCCGTGTCAAAAAAGAAAAGTATTTTCAAAACTTTCCGTGTTGTGGTTCCAAATCATTCCTTCAGCTGCCATAAGCACAATTTGCTCTTTGTACTGACTATCAGATCTTGTTTTTTCTATACCAAAGTTGGTCTGATTTGGTGGTCTGGTTCTCGTTGTTAATTTGTCTCGCGGACGTAGGTTGTATGGAGTATTGTTTTTCCAGTTACTGTTTGTGCGCTCTTCCGTTCTTTTGAACTGAGCCGAATTGTTTTTGCGAGCAGCGGATTGTGTATTTAATGTACCGCTTGAGCTCTGCTGTCTGCTTGTAAGGCATAGACTAATGTGATGTTGTCTGCCGCAAGAGGCACAGTTCGGCCGCTGACACTCCGAACTAAAGTGTGTACTGGAAAAACATTCCCAACATAACTGTTTTTCGATCGCTAGGTTACGTCGTGCTTGGATATATGTAATAGTTCTGCGGTTTGTTGCGTAGTGACCGCCTTTCTCGCAAAATGCGCACGACGGACCACTAATTGTAACCAGTGGGCTTTTTGTTTCCGTTGGGCCGTTGGTTCAACTCTTTTCTGATGTACTTTCATCCTCGACTGTACATATGCTATTGCCGAGATTTCTTTTTCTATGTTTTCCATTATTTCTTCGATAGTAACTTCTTCTCTTCCTTTGATCGCAATCAGGACATTTTTTACTATTTCATACGGAAACTTATCCAAAATCATTTCCGTCCACATTGCATCATTTGTTTTGCGGACATCTTGTCCCGCCGAAACCATCTGGTTCACTAACATTTGAATTTTGTCAAAGACGTATGCGCAGCTTTCTGCGCTTTTTGTTGCTGGCGTCAGTATCGTCAACCTATGGACAATTCTTGCGCGATTTATAGGCTTGTTTCCATTCTTCTTTTTGAGTGCATCTATCATCCAACCGTAATTCTGAGGTATTAGTTGGATGCCTTTGATTGCGCTATCTGAATTTCCTTTCAGACTGTCTTTTAGAAGGAGCAACTTTTCCACGGTGCTCAACGTAGTGCTTTTGTGTACCAGTGTTTCGTAAACAGCCCAAAATTCTGGAAAGTCTTCTTCGACTCCGAAGAATTTGGGTAACATCAGAGCTGGAGGCTTGATGTTGTTGCAGGTTCGTGATCCTTGCATTTTGTTTGCTTCTGTACTTTCATTACTGTCTTCTGATATCCATTCATTATCGGTTAATTCGTGTTCAATATTTTTGCTTGTTTGAGTGTTTGCAGTTGTGTTCAGTTCCGCAGGTATAAGTCCTAGCCTACGTCCCATTCTGTTTCGATGGCTCATCACCTCTGTCAGCCTTGTTTTCAGCATGTAAGTCATTTCAGTCGCAGTTCCCAGTATTCCATTGAAATTTGTTTCAATTTCGAGTTTTTCCAATGCATCAGAGAAGTCTTCCCTTTCTCCTGGTGCTTGTATTTTGTCATAATCTCGTTTAACCTGCGCGACTAGAGTTTTTAGTTCCTCTTTTGCGATGCTAATTTGCTGTATCGCTTCGTTTATTAAGTCTGCGGCTGCTTGACTCTCTTCGTATGCCTGCTCATCTGTTGCAGAGTATACTGGCTTTTTCGTATACTCTTTGAAGTTATTTGTTAAACTTTTTAGCGTCTTGGCGCTGATAGTGAGCGGGTTTTTCAGTAAAACCAACTCCATCTTGATTCGACAAGATCAAGATTTGACTTGTTTTTTGGCGAGGGTTCTTCCCGGCCGATGCACCAAAAATGTGCTGGGGTTCAGTGGATTTTTGTTTTATCGTGCTTCTGTCAGACACGGTTGGATTGATTCTTTATTGGCGAGCCGGGTTCTCCGGCAAACTTGTACAAACACTGCAAACAAAAAGGGGCGGCGCCCAGACTGTAAGTATTCGGAAGCTGCCAGCTGGCAGCTTCCTTTGTTAGATGCTATCGCAAGCAGGGCAAAAACACTGTTTTGCGAACTAGGTTCGCGGAATCGTAAAAAACTTCAGTATAAGACATCGAACAACAATTACGATAGCGTCGGCTACGACATGCTAATTATGGACATGATACGAATATCATGCTATCACTATTATCAGATTACCCAACTACGACCCCCTCCCTTTTTGACTCCTCAATACAACCCCCAGGTGTGGCGTGCCACACCCGACGCTTGACCCTGGTTTTCCTCCAGTTCCGCGGCCGATTATGCGTTCTGAAGCTTGGACTGTCGAATTTCTGACTCGAAAGGTTTGCAGCTGTTGTTCTATCCATCTATAGTCTAGTAGATTTCCCGCTTAATATAGTGTGCTTGCAATAAAAGTGAAATGCGGTAAAATTTGCGCGTGAACAAGTAGCCACGCCAGTAATGCCGGCCTTTTGCGCGCCCAATTGGTCGGCGTAGCAGGCACAGATATTTGTTCACGCGCAAATTTTACCGCATTTCACCTACAGTGCAAGCACACTATACTACCCTAAAATCCGCACAATAAGTCCGGACTTATCTGCAGGACTCTTGGCGGCGCGAGGGCGACTTTCGTTGTCAAGAAAGGGGACTCAACTGTTAGTTCCTTGCGGACTTATCTGATAGGGCGGACTTATCTGATAGGGCGGACTTATCGTAAGGATTTTAGGGTAAGCGGAAAATCTACTCGACTATAAATGGTTGTACATATCTAGGTTGTCGTCCTCTCATGCCAAACACGTACTTAAATCTACACATGGCTGCGCAGAGCGCGCCCCATGACCCAGTACAAATTTAGCCGGCGCGCAGGGAATTGGCGCTGGGGTGCGCTATAGTATGGGGCTTGCGTTTGCATCACGCTCACTACTTCATTCTTGATAGATTGCTTTACTATTCTACTTGCGCCGGTGTTTTCATCGCGCTCACTACTCTATACTTGATAGAATGCTTTACTTTTCTAATTGCGTCGGTGTTTTCATCACCACTACTCTTTCTTGATAGAATGCTTTACTATTCTACTTGCGTCGTGTTTTCAACACGCTCACTACTGTATAGTTGATAGAATGCTGTACACTTCTATTGCGTCTGCAGCTATTGTCCTCTGTGCCAACTGTTTGTAAACAATTTTATTTATTTATTTATTTATTTGTTTATTTATGTTTTACACTCAAGGTGTGCCAATATGAAAAAAGCAAGCAAACAAAAGCAAACACTAACAAGCAACTCATACCAATTCAGAGGGGACAAGGAGCAGTCCAAGGGAAGTGATTAAACGCAGTATGGGAACATCCCAAGCAATTCTGCCTTAGATTAGCCAGGGTGCTGCTAGCAATTAGGCTTGCAGATCAAATAGTGCTACAAACGTGAATTCCAATCTTGCTGCCTCTGAAAACTACCACTATAATTTTTGGGTGCCAAACGAGCCTACGGGCGGAAGCTAGCTGGCGAAAACCAATCAAAAAAGGTTTTCAGAGGTCAGCAAGATATCTCAAGCATATGAAGGTATGCTTGGCGATGGTAATCTCCGAACAGGGAATATACCCTTGTTTAGGAGAAAATGGGGATTACTAAAGTTCAATACTTGTGAGGCTGGGTGTTTGGAGGCTGCGATAAAGTTCTTAGGGAAATAATATGAGCTGACCATCTGCTAGTAAATGCAAAGTGTATGGTTAGTAACAGTGCGGAAGTATTTCAAACAAGATGAACGATCCTTTTGAGCAGAAGCCGGTTCTTTAAGAGTAATAAATGACAAGCAACAGGAGGTAGAACGCGAACTCGCGAGACGCCGGAGTTGTAGAAGCCACATTGAACTGGAATCAGGAGGGACCATGTCTCACCAGAAAGGTAGAAAAGTAGAAAAGCGTAAGTGAACAAGCGATACCTAAAAATCATCCATTTTTATTTCACGTAGTACATTGAAATCTTCTAATTTTCTACGAAATATGTGAGACTTTTCACTACTGATTACTTCTGTAGGCAGTAAAGCGAGCCATCTAGTTGTACGACAAAAGAAAGAGTTAAAAACAGTTGAAAACAATTTTTTGCCAAGCTTACGATAGGAAAAATGAAACCCACCTGTGCGTTGGCTGCCAGGCTTGAAAACTCAATATTTACTCGGTCTAATTTTGGTTTCTAGGTGCAGAATACGGAAGCACAAGACTAAGTCGCTGACTACTCTCCTATATTTCAAACTCTGAAGCTTCAATTTTTCAAGGCAAAAGCGATAGGGTGGTAATGACTGTGGATATCCTGCATTAGGAAAGCATCTGTAAAAGACAATTCTTGTGAATGTTTTTTGTATTTTCTCAATCTTCTCAATGTGTTTATTCCAAAAAGGGCTCCGAATGGGAGATTCATATTCCAAATGAGGCAATACACAGCTTTTATACAGTCGCACAAATAATTCCGGGTCATTGCTATGAATATTTCTGAAAATCTTGAATAGGACAGCAGATGATTTTTTGATGATAGAATCAAAATGAGAAGTGAATTTCAGCGAACTATCTATCATGATACCCAGGTCTCTCACAAGAGTAGATGACTCAAGATTGACACCGTTGTAGCTGTACGTGCGACAGGTAGAGTGACCCAAATGCAACACCGTTGTTTTAGAAATGTTTATAGGAATTTTCCAATCTTGTGACCAAATTGTCATTCGATGAATCGCTAAAGGAAGCCCTTAAAAAGCTTCCTCTTGCTGGCTATCATTATAACAAAAGTAAATTTTAATGTCATCCGCAAACATCTGAACTTTGACTTCGGGGTGCGTTTCCAAAAACATTGGTAATTCAGCAATATAGATCACAAAAAGCAAAGGTGAGAGTATACCTCGCTGAGGCACTCCACTGCAACAATGGAATCGATTTGAGTACCTACTCCCTACACGTACTGTCATTCCTCTATTTTGGAGATACGATTCAAACCAAGACAGTAGGTTTCCTCTGATGCCATAATTCTCAAGTTTGAAAAGAAGATTTTGGTAATTCACCTTATCAAAAGCTTTGGAAAAGTCGAAGTAAATAATATCAACAAATTTGTTATGATTAAGAGCAGTCAACCAGTCAAAAACAGAATCCAGGAGCAAGGTAGTAGTGGAGCAAGATGGTAAGAAACCATGCTGTTCGGGAGGAAAAACATGGTTCCTATCAAACCAATCAAAGATCTTGTCTCTGACAAGCTTCTCAAGAATTTTCTCGGCTGTGGGCATGATGCTAATGGGCCGGAAGTTTGCTAGAGTACACATATTTTCTCTTTTGGGAATAGCCCTAATGAGAGCTTCTTTCCATATTTTTGGAACTGCAGAATTGAAGAGAGAAGCGTTAAAAATGTACGCGAGAGGGTAACAAAGCGAAGGAGCACATTTTCTGTAAAGATTCTGTGGTATGCCATCGTAAGTGGCAGAAGTAGATGATTTAAGCTTTTTCAAAATATTTTAGTATAGTGTTATCTCTGAGCTTCATGCTGGATTCTGGTGTAAGTATTGAGGAGAGAGAGCTCTTGATCAGTAGTTTATTGGCAATGGCAACGTTTCGATTTTTAAAATCGTCTTCAGGCCTTGAATTACAATATATAAATAACATATGAGAATGAAATACAAACGGCGCATGTCCTTCATCTTCTTCTTAGATGGGAGGTAGAGAGGGGTAGGGTTGTTGCGGGATAGTTACAGCAGCAGTGGCCTCCTTCTTTGGTAAGTCAGTAAAGAATGAACTCCAGTCGCTTGCATTCAAGTAATTAGCATCAAAACATCTTTCATTTCTTCTTTACTGTTTATTTGCGGGCTATGCTTACATATTTCGTAGGCCTCCCTAATTTTCCTTTCTAAGGTATTTTCCAAGTTCCGATGTAGAACAGTCACTCTCAAAGGCGGTGTTTTCTGCATGGCATGTTTGAGCGTCCGATGCCTTGAAAAACTTTCTCTTGGATAGGAGGCAGGATTGAGTAACGCTCTCCTGTGCTCATCTAATCTCAACTTCAAAGGCCTTCCGCTCTCTCCTATATACTTTTCGCCGCATCCTTCGCATTTGATCATATAGACTGTTCCTCGTAGAGAACAGATTTTCTGTTCTTCACAGTATTGGCATCCATCGCATTTTCTTTCATAAATTCGTGTATTCGTGAGTATCTCCTTCAGAGTAGAAGGTGGTGAAAATGCGAGCCTTATAGGAAGTCCCGACCCCTTGACGATTTTGTTCAGCTTCCAAGCGGATTAGCGGACTCCTACATAGGGCAGTGTTAGTGTGATTCCGTCCGGAGCTCTATAGGGCCTCCATGTTCTGGGCCACATTTTTTTCAGATTTTTGAGATTTTTTCAAAATCTCAAAAACACTTCCAGGGGTAACTTGCAGGGTCCCACAAGACTCCTGGATACGCACAGTCGGTTGCCTGACTGTATCAATATCCTGTGAAGTGTGGTCGAATACTTTAGCAAAAAAGAGCCCCAGAGCATCAGCTTCCTTTTGATCCTCTGCGTAGGTTTCTCCACCATCTGTTATTGCTGGGACTCTTGCCCCACCTTTAACCCTGGCTCTTAGATACCGAAAAAGCTTTTTACTACCTTGCCTTTTAAGGCGATGTTCATGATTACTGAAGAATTTTTTGAGATGGTAACCAAAATCACGACAGACTTTTATGTACAACGTATCTGCTAATGGATCACTAAGATCAGAAAACAGTCTTGATTTCTGTTCAACCAAATTTTGAATATGAATAGGAAATTTACGAAAAGGAGT